GGGGGGGGGAGAGAGAGGGAGAGACGGGGAAGGAGTTGCGTCGGCGTTACGTTGCGTTAACACCATGAAAACTAACGCGGTGCTTACGGTGCTCCCCCCCCTCCCCCCAGCCGCGCTACGCCCCGGCTCGCCCCACTCAGCCCCGCTGTCGGGAAAAGTCAGGTGAAATGCCGCGCCCGACACGCGTGCCATTTGGGCGCGCGAAAACTGAAAGGGGTGCGAATAGGGAGAGAGGAGATGAGATTTGGCCAACCTAGCCCTCTCACTCGAAAGATGAGAACTTACAGTTTTGCTTTGCAGGGCAGGCCGTTATGTCGTTCCGATTGGCCGCGCGCACTCCCTTCCTCCTCCATTCACAGGTTCGACTGATGAATAACTGATGGCGATGAGCGAATCCGCTCAAATACGCGCGCTGTTTCAACCCCAGCCCCCCCATTTCACCCACACTCCCACAGCCATGTCATGAAACGAAATACAAATCAACGCAAATACCTGAATGAAATAGCCCGAGAATCACCTGAAATTCGTTTCTTTTACCAGCGTGGTGTCGGCCCTTAATTCCCCCTTTCTCTTTAATGGTTTTTTTTTGTGCGCACTCAAAAAGTACATATATGAGAGGCTTTTCGGCAATATGCTCTGTTGCCCCGGGGAGGCAGAGCTGGTCGGCGGGCCATGGCCAATCAGAGCGGCCCGGCCGCTGCCGCTGTGGTTGCGTTCGATTATATAAATGGGCTGGTTCTCTGCCCCCCCCCCTTCCACCCCATCGTCCCTGCGCCCTTCTGCACGTTGGGATGTCTAATAAAACAAGCCGGGAAAAATGGGGAAATGCATTTATAATGGGGATATCGGTCCGAATGTAGGGGAAAGACGGGGAAAGAATAGTGGAGTGCCCAGCGGGTGAGGGTCGTAATGACCCTCTGTGTGTGTGTGTGTGTGTGCGTGTGTGTGTGCGTGCGAGAGAGAGAGACAGAGAGACAGACGATAGACAGGCAGACTGCCAAAATGCTTCACACAGGCAGACCTGTACTCGAGCCTGTACTGATTTATTTCTTAGAAAATATTTGCGTGTTCACGCGGCAGGATTACTGACTAGTAATTTGTAACGTATTCTGTATGTTTTTGTCAGTAACTCACTGAAAACAATTGTTAAGTAACTTAAAAAGGAATTATTTCGTAATACTTCTGAAAAAGTTGGCGGAACTTCAACGTTCTTACGCAGCAGGAATACTGATTCGGGGTGGAAAACAAGCTAGGCCCGCTCTTCCGCCAAACCAAGTTGCCAGCTCCGCTTTGCTCCACCGGCAACTCGGTTCGGCAGGGAGCGGGCCTAGCTTGGCCTGCCGGCGGCGTTTGGGACGGGCCTTCGGACCGTCCCTTCTAAATTTTCATGTTGAAATGTAGCTTCTATCGGAAAACGGGCCTTTGGCCCGTTTGAGTGACGGCTCGCTTTGAACCATCTTTCTGCTAGGTACCTTTGCTGTCTACTTCGTAATCAAAACTCAATAACGGAGCATTCTTTTCATGCGCTAAACATCTTCGGCTGTGTGTGCCGCAGTTTGTAGAATACGTGCTAGTTATGCCAAATCCCTTCTAACTTTTTGATGTTAGCTTATGGATCCAATAACACACCTATAACAAGATACTTTATAAGACTAGACCCCGAAGAAGTTAAATATACTTCCAGGCATACTCTGAATGACCCCGAACGTGT